CATGAGCAGTGCTTGATGTGCAATACTGTTAGGTCCAAGAAGACCAGAATGCTGGTAGGAATGCAGACAATAAAGGCCAGGCTCAAAATGTTTCAGTTGGGGACAAGGACAGCATTGGCAGTTGGATTAGAGGCAGAAAATTTGTCTACATTTTGCCCATGTCTTGAGACTCTGTGGAAGACTGAGAGTAAGAGGTGCACTCTAGAGCCAGGTAAGGTGTCACACATGTGTAATCTCAGCTTCAGAGGCTGTGGCAAAAGGAATGTCAGAAGTTTGAGAACAGCCTGAACCACATAGTGAGAACCTGTGGTCTCAAAGAAAAAAAGAACAGTAGACTAATTAATCTGATGGAGGAAATTCCAAAACAGTCCAATGGCTACTGTTTGGCATGGCTACTGTTGGCTGCTTTTAGCTGGATGTACACTGAAAATTGAAAGCAAATGGCAAAGTAGAATGATATGAAGAGTTCACAGTTTCACCAGAAAGGAATTATCTACAAAGTTGGAGCAAAGGAGAGCATGGTTAATGAAAAGACTAGCATTAAAAAGAAAGTAAGTACTTCTTACAAAACAAGAAGAATGATGCCTTGAGAGCATCTCAGAAATCAGCAACACCCTACCAACTTTAGCCTCAAGAATGCAAAAGTGTAAACCTTTCGTTTGTGAAGACAACCCCTGGCTCTCCACTCCAGAAGGGCTGCCTATGGAATAGGTTCTCTGGGATTCATTTCACCATGATCATCCATCCTGACACTCAAAAGTCACTGCAGCCATGGCCCAAGGGATGCTGGACAGTGCTTCTGCTGGAGGCAGACCTTGGTGTCATCCACATGGTGCTTGTTTTTCAGGCATGCAAAATGCAAGAGTCATGGGAGATTTAAAAAGAAATCCTCAGAGGTCAGGCAGTGTTCCCTTGAGATATGAAGTGGTGTAAGTGAAGCTGAAAGTACAGTGGAGACTGTACTTTCTCCACTGGAAGGAAGTTGGAGAAGCTAGGAACATGGAACATCTGGTAAGGGAAGTTATAAGCAGTGAGTAGAGCTAGCTCAAGAGAGAGGTCATGTAGAGTGAAACTGGCAATGCCATAAGAGGAGGGCCAACCAAACCCTTTAGAATTCACAAGTTACTGCAGCCATGCTACTTCTGTTGAGCACTGATTCTGTGCTGGGTTTATATCCAACATGCTGGACACAGGTACAGGATGTAATGTTTGCCTTATAAGGTTTTGGTCTTGCTTTGGTCTCATTTCTGTGTATCCTTCTATTCCATTTTTTTTGAGTAATAGGGGAATTTGCCCTGTGCCATTGTATGTTGGACATGTTTAATTTTCTTTTTTACTTATACAGTACCTCACAACTAAGAGTTTGCCTTGAGCATTACCTCTAACTTCAGACTTGGACGTTTCAGCAGTGCTGAAACTGTTATGGCTTTACTAACTCACAGAGATGGACTAATAGCATTTTGCATAATGAGATGGACATGAGCCTTTTGAGGGTTAGAGATGGGGTGTTAATGTCCCCCCCAAAAGTCTCATATTCAGAAGTAGAACCTAGTCAGAAGGAGTGGGTTACTGGGACTGTGACCTGAAAGGTATATTATTATCCCTGGCTCCTCCCTTCTCTCTCTGCTTCCTGGGTACTATGATGTGAGCAGTTTTTCTCTGCTGGGCCCATCCACGATACTGTTTCTGCCTTGGAGCTGGCCAACCATGGACTAAGCCCACTGACACTATAAGTCAAGATAAACCTCTCCTCGAAGTTGCAATTGATATTTTGTCCCAGCAACAGGAAAATGACTAATACAGAGCCCTCCTCTCACTAACCACCCTGGAACCTGTCATTTCCATGAAACTAACACAAAAGCTAGTTGTCTGGAGGCTTTCTCAAAACGCAGATAGCTTCTATGTGCAGTGGGTTCAAATATACTGAGGGGCCTATGCTAGGATGGTAGGTCCTTCGTCTGCTGGGAAATACGCATGGTCTTTGGTGCTGACAGAGCTTGAAGATAGTTTTGTCTCCACACTTTCCCACAGGTCCAGTTGAGGGTTCTATTAAGTTATGTTCTTCAGGGTCCTTTGTGAGCCATTACCAGAATGGAGGACTAGCTTCCCAAAGAGCAACTTTCATTTCCCTCATCTTAATGGCGGGTGAAAGGGACAGAAACTAATTTAAATGTCAATATGAAGCAGGCAGAAGATCTAAAGCTGTGCATTTGGTGAGGCTGTAATGAGTAAATGCAGAAAGGAATCGTACACATGCCAGACTCCGAAGAGATGATGGTCAACAAAACAACAAATATTTATGGACGCCCTCTATGTTTGTGGCACTCAGCCCACAGAGTAGCAAGAGATAGAAATCCTGATGTTACAGGATTGACTTCCTAGCTGAAGAGAATGACAGACATTTAAGAGATTTACAGAATGATGACCCACGCTCCTCTGTTGAGCAAGCCTTTGGCATTTAGTACTTCTATTAGGCAGAAAGTTAGACATTAGCAGGCAAACAACATACCTAGGGAGGAAACAGGAAACTTTTTCCTTCTGAAGTTGGCCAAGGGCCAGGGATATGGCTTGGCAGCAGAAATGCCTGCCTGGCAAGTGCAAGGTCCTGAGTTCGATTCCCAGAACCGCCCCCCACCCCAAAATAATTAAGTTGGTCAAAGCAGCCCCTTTTCCTTACAAAAGAATAATGACCTTGGAGGAAGGAAATTATATTCCTTGAAGATCCATATAATAATATAAACATAGCCTGAGCCTTATTGGGCACAATAGTCCTCTTGGCACTAGCTGGCTTTCAACTTGAAGGTGCATTCTCTGTTGCTCTAAAAATCTGTCACTGCAGTAGCTCTACCTTTACTCTGTATGATGACCTACATGTTTTAACTGACGTCTTTCATCAAAGACACAAAGAACCCAGGAGTGTCACCAGCTCCTCACTCTATTAGGACCCAGCTTCGCAGTGGTACCAGTGCAGGCAAAGGAAGCTTACAGGAGCAGGAAGAGGGCTCACCAACAGCAAGCCAGGACTCCCCAGGGAGGAGGCTGGAAGGAAGCATAGGCCCTGATGAAAAGGAGGCTGAGTGTGTGGCTGTGTCTGGGACAGTTAACGGTGATGCTCACTTTGAACATGCTGAAAGCAGGTGCTGGCGTGCCCGCCTTCTGCCCAGGGCCCTCAGCAACCCTGGGTGGCAAAGGGTCACAATCAGGTTCTCAGACCCACAAAGGATGAAAAAGAAACTGTCTGTGTCATGGTAGCTCTTCCAAAAACTAGGATTTGACCCATGGAAGAAAAAGCATGGACAAGTGTGTGGTTTGGGGGAAGGAGGGATTCCTATGCACTTATTTAGGAGAAACCTCAAGTATTTCTTGAGAACCTTTGTGATCTGTTCCTTTCACACAACTGGTAATAAAGTTCCAGATGACAGGCTCTAGTGTGAGCACTGGGCTCTTCCTCCCCTCCCCTTTCCCACAGTGACAGTAAATGTTGCCTCTTACCACAAATGACTGTGGCCCTTAAAGCCTATATTTCTGCAGAAAATGCAAATGTTTACTTTAAGTGAGAGTCGAGATGGAATAAGGCCTACTTTCCATTTCCAGGTCCCCCTGCCTCTGCAGAGTCTCAAAGCCCAAGATGAAGAAAGGCTTGATGCAGGGAAGCCAGCTGTTGATTTTTTCTTCTTAGGAGATCAAAGAGGAAAACCAAATTGTCATTCCCATAGATCTTGAACAGCATTTGACTTAAGTCCATTTCCACTCTAAGTAAAAAAGAATAAAAGCTTTCTCCTTATCATATAAAACACTTCTCTCTCATCCCAAAAGCTAGCATCATGCTTACTGGGGAATCAGACAAGAATATACACTCTTATCATTATTTAGCAATGGTCTGGAGACACAGCCATGGTGTTTAGAGGAGAGAAGAAAATAGGAAACATAAGAACAGGAAAGGAAGAATATAAATATCCATTCTTTTCAAATCTGTAAAAAGCATGAGAATCAACAGGAAAAGCATTATAAATTGTAAGATAATTCATTATCAGACTTCCATATATCATACAAAAGTACATTAAAAGATGTAAGGGAAGAAAATATGTCATTTACAAATATTAAAAAAAGAAAAGAAAGAACTAGAAACCACCATGATCAGAATATGCAATATGTAGTGAAGGAAACCTTAAAATACTCCTGAGGAAAATACACGAAGACTTGAACAAGTACTGTATCTAGCATGCAGTTCTTTAAGTATGAAGACTCAACATTATAAATAATAACCACTAACATTTACTATGTTCCAGACACTCCTCTAAGTATTTTACTACACAACCCATCAAAGATGTAAATTATCCCTAAATTAATCTGCAAATTAACATGATTGAATTCCATACATTATGCATATACCCTCTATTCAAAAATAAAATTTAATTTAAAAGGCTCAGTTTCAATAAGCCAAGCTGACAGCATTTAAAAGATCACCCAAGATTCTTCAAGCTGTTGGTTGAGAAAAATGGAGAGAACGAAGCCCCAGGTTGCTTCTTTGGCCATTCTATTAGAAGGCATATCCTTTGCTCCATTTGAAGACGATCCCCCAGCCAACCTCAAGTTGTCCCCAAAGGTCCCCAGAGAAGAACCATCATCTCCCCAAAGACTGACTACACACACACACACACACACACACACACACACAAACATACAGCTCTGCTGTGGAAATCATGCCCCTAACCTCCAGTCTCAGGACTTCCAGCCAGGCCAGTAACACAAAAGGGTGAATGACATGTGTCAAACACAGACTCCAGGGTGGCCCTCTCAGCATCTCTCCTGTCCAGGATACCCCTAACCCAGCCCCCAGGCCTCTCTGGAGATGCTGTAACTCATCCATCCTCGAAGGAAGGTCCAGTGCGGAAGGAGGCTTCCAAGAGGCAGTCTCCTCTTTGAGGACTTTATCACACAATGGAAACCTGCAAAGGAATTAAGCCAAGTCAGGTTGCAAAACCAAGAGGAGCTCCTACCTGCCATGGCCTCCAGCAGCAGCAGCAGGGTGACTACTTTCTGCATATTTGGTGGCTCAAGCTTGTGTGGGCTTCTGTACTTTCCCCAGGACCTGAATCCAGCTCAGACTTAGAGTTTATTCCGGTCACCACAGTCTTCCCCTCCTGGCTTTGTTGCCACCCGAAAAAGAAACAGAGGCTTTGGTGGTAACTATGGGAGACTCTAAACAGTGCCAGATTATTTGTTCTTTGATCACCTGCTTCTCTGAGTACATGATACCCAAGAGGCCAGCCCAGCAGTCCCAGTCAGCACCCATCCTATAGGTCCTCATCCACTGCGTCTCCACAGATGGCCCCAGGAGAGAAGCCACAAAAGCTGAGAAAGAGTTGAGGCCCCTAGAAGACTGTGAAAAGCTACACATACCCACGCAATGCCCCTTGTGGTCACAGTTGCCCTATTACCAGACTTGTCATTCCCACACTCATGGCCAGATGGGGGGATAGTTCTCTGTCCTGAACTGATGAGTAGCATCAGACTTGGGAGCTAACTGGAGCTTGTTCCAAGAAAGGACCCAAGGGCTGGGTCCAGACGCCCCCTGAAGGCAGACAGTGGTGGTGGATGCTGCCCTTTGACCACATCTGTCACCAGGGCCCCTCCAGGTCCCCAGTCAGTAAGTGGATGAGGACTGTTGGAGTCATGAGGCTTCTGCCCTCTGGGGAGTGGTGTTTCCTGTCCCACAGAGGACAGTATGGTCCTGTATGATTCCTTTTTGCCCACGCAGCCCTGGGCCAGGACACGAGGTGGCAGGTGAGCTGACCCAGCTGGGCTCCAGCCTCCTCTCAGACAAGGCGCGATGGCCAAGGGAGATAGCAGGAAAGCGGCCTGTCCCCTCACACGGGGCAGTGGTGAGCACAAGGGAAGAAACATCTCTTCCTTTCCTCATGCCGGGGAGGCGAGGACAGGGAACCCAGCAGCCCAAGTCTGGTGACAGGAATGGATTGCAGGGCTGTTAAGCCAGACCCCCCATGAGGAATGCGAGCAGGGGCAGGCCCCATAGGCGCTCCTGCCCCACGGCGACCGGCACATGGCACCCGCCAGTCAGTAAGAGACAAGGAGACACACAAGCGACAGAGAGACCCAGGAAGAGAGCTGCTAAGCTGCTGCCCCTGTCTTTCTTCCTCTCCTCCTTCCAAACCAGGGTTAAGGCAGAGGAAGCAGCTGGGAGCCGCGCCACACCCCTTGCCACGCTCTCAGAGTGCCCCCTGCCCCCGCGCCGGCCTGCGGCCCCGGGAATGGCAGGAGAAGAGGTGTCCGTGCAGCTGGCGATGGAAGCTTTTAACAGTGCTGGACTAAGAATAATGAAGGGGACCTGAAAGCAAGACCTGTGAGGGGCCACAGAGCACAGAGGAAAAGTAAAACCATCTCCACCTCCATCCTATGGCCCCTCCTAGGCATGGGAAAATGAGGCCCAGAGAATGGGTGACTCGGCATGGGTGGAGCTTCTGCTCAGAGCTGCCTGATCCAAAGGAGGGGGTCGAGTGTGCCCTCATCCCCTGCCGCCACGTCCAAAGTCCGAACACTGGGCACCCTCTGGCCTCCAAGGCGCCTCCTACTGCTCTCTTCCCGGGCTTTGCCACTGCCACCCCCGTGTGAGGCCCTTGCCCCTATCCTGGGCTCTCTCCACAGCCTCCGAAGCATCCTATGGAACCACCAGGTAGTTTCCCAAGGCACAATCTTGATTATCCGCTTTCCTGATCAGAATAACAAACAGCCTTTCCCTGCAAGAGAGTGGACTTGTGCTGTGTAAAGCAGGTCGGTCAGCAAGATTTGGAATGAGCATCTACAGGCTTCTGTCTCAAGTGGGTAGATGGTAAAAGCACACCGTTTTCGCTGTGTGCCCTTAGGCAAATGACCCAGCCCCTCAGACTCTTGCTTCTGCGCTCCCCACCCCCGTCTATACATCAGGAAAATAAGGCCCGCGTGTGGCAGTACTGCGAGCAGTGCACGAGACAATGAGGCGGCAGGGGCCGGCGCACAGCGCGTACCCCCTCAGCGCCATGTTTTCCCGGTGGGCACCCCCAGGACTGTGCAAAGGCTGAAACTCAGTAGGGAGTCACTGCGCACAGGCTGAGTCAAGCGAGATTCACAACAGTTGCCAAGTTACCGATTCTCACCCCTCGGTTTTTCCTGTCATATTAGTTACTGTAAATAATCCATTTCATTACGCATAATTAAAGCTGAAGTGATGGCCCAGATTAAGTTATGGAAAACGTCAGAATAATTAAGCCTTTAAATTAAAGAAACTCACATCTGTTTAATTTTCAGCCTGACTACACAGCGTTTTCCCATTGCCCTGTTTGCACCAGGAGCTCGGGAGTCTCCCCTTTCTTTCCGTCCTGACTCCGGGGAGCAGAAGGTATATTTGGAAACGTGCTGTGGGTTTCCCCCCGTCATTACAGCCTCTGTTTCCAGCCCCGAGGTTATTCCTGCCACTTCCATTGGCTGTTGGACATTCGTCGTCGCTCCCTGCGTACTGACATCACGTGGTCCTGGCAAAGAGACCTCAACATCACAGAGGCTGAGGGGGAGCCAGAGGCCCCTTGCCCTCATTCCCTGCCAAGCTGTCGCAGTTCCACCGAGCTCTCGGCCAGCTGGGATGGACAGGGCAGCTCACAGGCAGGGCCAGAACTTTTGGGTCAGCCCCTCCTGCAGCTCCCATGAAGGACCTGGGGATACCTCTAAGTCTTATTGGACCCAGGCCCTTGAATTATGTTGAGGGACTTCCCTGGTGAGCAGCTACGACAAGTCTCTAATGCTCTAGCAGAAGACTTTGGTTCCAAATGCCGGAGCCCACAAGTGCCCCTCAGCTTTTGTGGTAAGAAAATCACTGCCACAGCCCTCATCGCTTTAGGAAATCAGCGGCAGCTCACCTTGGCTGGTCCCCAGGGGTGGGGTAGGAGCTCCTCTGAAACCAAGGCCCTTGGCGCCTGCTGGCAGCACCCCTGCCCTGGCTTCAGAGGTGACAGTAAGAAGGACAGCGTCCCTGGGGCTAGCCCCACCTGGCTCCAGGGACGTGACACAGACGGGCTGCCTTGATTCTTGCTTCACGCCTCTGCAAACCCAGGCCATCTTTACTGTTATTTATAAATAACAGCTTCACTGAGAAACAATTCACATACCATTCAATGCACCCATGTAAAGCGTCCAACCTACTGGTGTTTAGGGTAGCCCCAGAGTTGTACAACCACTGTCACAATCAAACGTAGAACATCTTTATCACCCCGCAAAGAAACTTTTCATCCCTTAGCAGCCACCCCTCCATTTTCCACCAGCCCTGGCACCCATTAATCCTTGTTCTGGACATTTCGTATGAATGGTGTCGTATAACACGTGGCCTTTGTGAGTGGCTTCTGTCGCTTAGCATGCTGTCAAGGTTCATCTTATTGTAGCCTGACCAATACATCATCCCTTTCTTATTGCGAGATAATATTATTCCACTGTATAGATAAGCCACATTTAATTTATTTGTTCATCAGCTGAGAGACACTTGGCCTATTTCTACTTTTTGACTGTTATACATAATGCTGCTACGAATGTTCACACACAGGATTTTGCAAGGAGGTATGTTTTCATTTCTTGGGGGAAAATACCTAGAAGTATAATTGCCAGGTCCTATAGTGATTCTACCAGGTCATTCTTGTAAGCAAGAAGCCAGTTCCTTCTCCAGTGTGTTGGCCTTCCTGCAGTCCCTGCCCCAAGTTGTGGGCCCCCACCTACTTAACCTTTCTGCCACCTTGTTCAAACATATTTGTGCCAGCTAATTGCTTCTCCCTCCCTCTCTCTAGGTGTCATTCATTATTCATCTGCAAATATTGACTACCTATTGTATGCCAAGGCCTGTTGTGCATGCTAAGATTAAAGCAGAGAACAAAACAAACAAAAACTCCCAGGAGCCCCAGCATTCTAGAAGCACTACCCTTCCTTCCATCCAGGCAGCCAGCCGGGGCTCCTGTTGCAGCCCACTCTGTGCCAGGGACTACACTGGGTACCAGGACCATTAGTCTGCTGTGAGCTGCTTCTCCCACCCAGGACCTCAAACTGAAAAAAGAAAAATCTATGGTAAGCCCACAGTCAACATTAAGTGGACCAAGTTCTGTGTTTGAGGCATGCATGTGGGCTGTGAGAGTTTGGTCAGATGGGGCACACAGAATCAATTCCACTAGGGTTGGAGCTGTCAGAGCATGTTTCCAGGTGCAGATGTGAGCTGGAGAAATGCACGGTAAAGGCCATTTGAGCTAAAGAGGGACAGTGTAGAGGTCTGAAATGGCACACTTCACCTTGTATTCTGCCAGTTGCCTTATTCCTGGGTGAGCTCACTTTTCAAGAAAAAACTTTTGATTAGCTAATATAGGCACACAACACAAAATTTGCAGTGCTCAAAAGAGTCCTCCCCTGCTCCTGCAGAATAACCATCCTTGTGACAGTCTTGAGACCCTGTTAGAGACAGTCTATGCACGTGTGGACACAGGTCATCCACGTGGCCACTACTTCAGTAGAAAGGTAAGCTTATTACATAATCTGCACTTTGTGCAGGTTTTTGTCCTAATACATCTTGGAAATTCTAACAGTGCAGAGAATAGCTCATTCTTTGTAATAATGGTGCAACAGTCTGTTGTAGAATTGCGCTACATATTATTTATACAGTCCCCTGTTGACAGACGCTTGCTTTGTTTCACATCTTTTTCTATTACAAATAATGCTGCAATAAATATCCCTGAACATATGTAATGAACCCGTAAGAGTATAATTGTAGATTAGATTCTTGAAAATGGTTGCTGCATAGAAGAAAATGTATATTTAACTTTTTGGTAGATGCTGCCAAAATATTCCTCAAAGAGGTTGTTCCCGTTTATTCTCCTACTAATGACATAGGACAGTGTGGGAGAGCCCCCACACACCATAAACAATATGACATCCAATGTTGTACTTTTTACCAATCTGTTAGGTAAAAAAAGAAAAGCTATCTCACTCAATTTGTATTTGTCTTTTCAGGAATGGAATTGAACGTTGTTTTCCAATATTTAAGAAGCCCTGGGTTTGATCCCTCAAATACACTAAAACAAAAAAAGTCAGTGGTGGAGCAAGTGGCCAAGATCCTCCGGCAATCATCTCCTCACAGACACACCA